TTTCTTTGAGGAATACATGAACTAAAATAAAAATTATTCAACATATATGTTTTTAGAACGAGTTATAGTAGCTGATATTGGCATTTTGATAGGCGACTATTCGAATGCTTTAATATTGGCACATAATACGTTCGTAATATATAGTTACAAAACATTGTAAAGTCAATGTTTTTCATTTCGTTAACAGTGTCAAATCTAAGAATTTAGGCACATGGGAAAAAATCCCATTGGATCCTTTTGAAACTAGTATGACCTGTAACGAAATAGGTGTATTGTATTTCTTTGAGGAATACATGAACTAAAAAAAAAATTATTCAACATATATGTTTTTAGAACGTGTTAAGGTAGCTGATATTGGCATTTTGATAGGCGACTATTCGAATGCTTTAATATTGGCACATAATACGTTTCTAATACATAGTTACAAAGCATCGTAAAGACAATGTTTTTTGTTTCGTTAACAGTGCCAAATCTAGGAATTTAGACACATTGGTAAAAATCCATTGAATCCTTCTGAACCTAGTATGACCTTTAACGAAACAAAAATATTGTATTTATTTGAGGAACACATGAACTAAAAAAATCTAAGTATATAGTTAATTATTCACTCAATTCATCAAGTAATTAAAATTAATTTCACATCTTGGATACACATCATTTGACAAGTATAAAATTAAATAAGTGAGTTCAATTAATTTAAATTACTTATCTTGATCTACAATGACCATGTGTTGTTAATTTTCAAAAATATATTTTATTTATACTGAAATATACATTTTTAATAGAATGCATTTGGAGTTTATGAAAGTTTTAGACAAGTGTTTTATAAGCTTACCATTTATAAAATTATATATCAGTAGTCCAAAATTCACTCGCTTTTATTTACACCAGTTCCCAAGCGTAGTGTAGTGTCAATACTGGATTAATATTGGATGTGATAGAATATTATATTATAATATTATAATATAATAACAGTACTTGGCCAGCACTGGATCAGTAGTATTTATTTCAGCCATAAAATAAGAAACAAAACAAAAATAATTGATTATATTAAATACGCTGAAGATATCATAGAATTTTTTCGAGGTAATACAATAAAAATTAAATCATTTTTAATTTATTAAAAATAATATAGCTATAAGCTAATAAATAAAAATTATCTAAATAGTTTATAGATTTTATGTAAATATCTAATCAAAGTAGATACAGTTAAGAAGGAACAAGAATCCTCAACACAAACGTATGTAAGTAACAAACGCTTCACGCGTTCTCTCCTATGGTGTTAGGTGTGCTTTTTTGTCGGATTACTTTTTTGTCTTGTTTGGCTTCCCTTTTAATTGCAGATGCGGTTTTTCGCCCGGTCGGGTTTTTGTCCGCATTTAAATTAATTATTTTTATAAAAAATATAAATAAAGTCTCCTAAATAACTTAAAAACCTTGTCTTATTATTTATTAAATAAGTATGTCGAAACTTTAATAATTATTGCAGATTGGACTAAATAGATTATAATCTTCAACTAATATTATTTATTTTTTAAATAAATGATTAATATTAAGATTTGATATGAAAAACAATATTTAAGAATCATTTTGATAAACTTAACTAAGAAGAATCTATCCTAATAACTAATAACTAACCTAATAGTTATTATATTAGAACTAAATCTAAAAGTTACATATTAAATTAATCACTTTTTATAAAAGGCTGGTGAATGTGCGAGGATTTAAAGTAATTATCAACCCTATTAGCTGTACCTAAATTACGGTTTATATAAAAAATCACAAAATAAATACATATTAAAATGTAATAGACATTATAGAGATTATATATTATTAACATTGATGGCTATAAGTGAATTTGATTTGTGAAAATAAGTAAACAATACTTAATATTTTTGGGGAACTGAATAGTCCAGTACAATAACCAAAAATATTGGTTTTTTTTTATTTATAATCTTCAATTTTCTAATTTCTCTAGGTATTCACCTACCAGGTAAGTTAATATTATACAAACATAAATGCATAACATACATAGTTTAGTACTAGAAACACTCCGAATGTTGAAACTCCTGAATTATTTTTAATTATAGAGAAAACCGGTTATTGACCTTCAATTGCAAGTTTTGTTTTAAATTATAGTAATTTAAATTAAAAAAACTTAATAGCTTTTTATTTAATGTATATTGTACAAATATGCCCTTTGCTAGTGTTGTAATTTTTATTTTCTGAAAAATTGTCAGAAACATTCTATTGCAACAGTTTATCTCACCTTCATTGGAGTTAAAATCAGTAACAATTAACTTTGCAAAAAAACTAAAAAATTGTACTAATACCAACGGATAGAAAATTTATCTACATTACCCATTATCATTTGAATAATATCAGTTTGAGTGTTTATGAATAAAAAACAGAGTGGTGTGCTAATTATGTCACAAGTAATATCGAAAAAAAGAAAAGTGTTATACAAATAAATATATAAGCATCTTATGAATTAATTAAATAGAACTTATGAAGTGTGAATGCAGTAGTTCCTAATTATTAAAAATGTATAACTTTTTAACATACATTTTTAATCCACTGTACGCAATAATGTGACAGATCGTTGTTAACTGATGACGACGATCTGATTTTTTTTTATTTACATTATTTTATGTATAAAAGTTAAAATGAGTCGAAATTTACTGATTTTTAAAAATCGTATTGTTGAGATAATTCTCCCACCCATTTACCAGATATGAGAGAATTTTTAATTTTTGACGGTAGTATCTTCAATTAGATATTATTTAAATAATAGATTTATTATATAATAAAACCAATAGTAATAGAAAAATATAATGAAAACTTATTCCTTTTATTAAAATTAACAATAGTCAATACAAATTATCCTTATTTAATATATTATAAATATAATATGTACATAAATGTATTTTGTAGCAAATATAATTTTGAAAATTCACTATAACTTTTAGTTTTAAATAACATTTTATAAAAATATAAAAAAAAACATTATATTCATTGCATCAATTGGAACATAATTTAAATTACTTAAATTCAATTTTTGTTAAAACAAAATTAAAGTCATGACTTAACTTTTAAGAATATTATACCATATTTAGAATTTATGATTTACCATAAACTGCTGTAACTATAATAGTTTAAGTATTTGCGATCAAAAATCTGATAATAGTTATAAAAAAAATATTTTTTTTTGGTTGATAAGAAAAAAATGTTTACAAATAAATATTTTTATTTATCTCATAGAGTAAAAAATATCCATGAGGTAAAAACTTCTTTCGAAGATGAGGTATTGCCCTACTAACCCACCCTTATGTATATGTTATTGCAGGGGTGCTAAAATTGTGTAAAGCTGGCAGAGCCTTTCCCAGATTACACCTGTGTAATTAATACTGATTAAAATAAGTTAATTTTAAAGTTGTGGAATAGTATAAAATATGTACATTATCAAATGGTTTGGGTTTAACAAATTATATCAAATTCAAAAAAAATCTGCAGATTATTAGGGGTAAATATAGTGTTTAAAGAATTAGAATATTTAATCAAACTTGAAAATTATTTGTAGTAATAAATATTACCTAAAATATAATATAAAAACTTGGATCTTCCTTTTTTAAGTCTAAAATTAGGAAGTTTCCAAAATAACTTTTAGAAAACATCAAAAACCAAAATATAGATCATATCAAATTATTTTACCCAAAATTCTATTACAAATAGTTTTTTTGTTAAGTATAATTCTATTATAAAATTTTCAAAGAAATTTCATGGCATGGTTTTTTCATTTAGTTGAAAAATTCAATTATTTGTTTCTTCATAATAGCTTAAATATGTATTACTATGATTCAACACATAGATTTTACACACTGCAAACAATTTCCTAAATTTTTAGTAGGATCACCCCTCAAACTACACCAATGACTATAATTGTTTTTATTTTAACTTAAAATTATAAAATAATTGCAAAACATAGATTTTTGGTTTTCATAGTNTTATTACAAATAGTTTTTTTGTTAAGTATAATTCTATTATAAAATTTTCAAAGAAATTTCATGGCATGGTTTTTCATTTAGTTGAAAAATTCAATTATTTGTTCCTTCATAATAGCTTAAATATGTATTACTATGATTCAACACATAGATTTTACACACTGCAAAAAATTTCCTAAATTTTTAGTAGGATCACCCCCCAAACTACACCAATGACTATAATTGTTTTTATTTTAACTTAAAATTATAAAATGATTGCAAAACATAGATTTTTGGTTTTCATGGCAAATATTAGCTAAGTAGAATTATGCTTTTACTAGAAAGAATCAATAAGTTTTTAAATTTACACTTATGGATTACTTAATAATATTTTTCCAAAATAATTATCTAGGTAATAACCTGTATATATATTCAAATACCACATATTAACTGATATTGGAATTATTATTTTATGTTAGTACAAATAATATTAAATCTTTATTTAACATTTAAGTTACAACTATTTCAATGTTAAAAACATAGTTCTTAACTATTAATCATTTTAAGGCTCTTATAAATAAATTTAATTAATGGTACATTAAAAACTAATTAAACTTTATTATTTAAAAAAAATAACCTTTTTTTTTCTTTAGTAGTTGTTTAATATTTTTTATAAGTCTATTAAAAATATTAAACTTTTTTTAATACTTGAAATATATCTTCTCAATAATTCTAAATTTATAAGTCAAGGTAATACCTATTAGAAATAAGAAGAAATATGGTATAAAATTAATGCATTTTAACATTATATGTTCTATAAAATAAACAATTATACAGTTTAACGGTATTGAGTTATAAGTATATAAAATATACTATAATAATAACAATAAATAAAACTTCTTCAAATTTTAGAATAATACTTTTATAACATTAGATTAACTGTACAAAATAATTCATTAAACATTTCAAAAAGAAAAAGATGAATTATAAGTTAAATATAATATATAATTAAATGAATAAATACTAGCTTGTAATATTTTTTACATAAATTGTATAAACCACATTATACAAATTTATTTCAATAGTTTTTTATGTTTAATTTCATACAATAATTGTTTTTTATATTTACTCATATTCAAATGTTCAAATTTTATTGGCTGATTTTTGGACAAACATTCAACAAATTTACAAACATAAAAACCACCATCCCATGGATTGTTCTGTTGTGGGCATTTACGAGATATATGTAAACTCCAATTTCCAGCTTTTAAATCTTTACCTTTTTTAATTATATGTTCTCTCATTAAATACTTCAATATTTTTTTAAGACAAATAAAATATTGTATTTTTAAACTATCATAATACTCAATAGTCTTTTTTGAAAAATTTACAACAATCAAACACCAATGGTTTTCTACTTCCACAAATACTGGTATCAATAATTTTTCTTTGGAAAATATATCAACATCTTTAGTCCAGTTACTAGCTTTTTTATATCCTTCATACTTCAAAGTTTTGTAAAATGATGTATTAAGAATAAGTATGTCATCAGAAGAATGATGAGAAATTAATTCCAAATACTGATTTATATCTTCATCATTAATAAACATATTATTTCTTTCAATTTTTACATTGAATGGCTAATAAAAATTTTAATCCAATTAATGATAAAATGGGTTAATTTTACAACTTCGTTGATACTTAATTCCAATAGAGGAAACATAAATATCAACAATTAATTAGACAAACAGAGAAAATATAAATAGACAATCTCGGAATAGAATAACTAATTATAATTTAATCAATGATTCAATGTAAATATCTAACAAAATTTAGATTTAAAAAAGTAAAAATAAATACAATTAAAAATTTTAATTACATACCTGTATGCATGGCTGAGGAATTAAGCCTACATTTCCTTCTTTTTCTCCTAGATACCAATTAATATTAACTTTTTGAAATAAGGTGACATAATCTCCAATACTTAATTCTAAATGTCTATAAAAAAAACATCAAATGATTTCATATTAAAATGTTTAGTATTATTTGTAGATTTAAGATAAGATATTTCTGAAGCTATTTAAAAATGATAGAAAATATTTAATTTCTTTTTGAGAGTTGAATAACAGTATAAAATAAAATGATATAAATTAATTACCCAGGTTCTTTAGATGCATAATTGTAAATAACTTTTGCACTTGTTTTTAATTCCTAAAAGTTAAAAATATATCATCAATAAAAAAATTTTACCGTCTAAATTACTATATTAATCTTAATTTTTTATTACAATTAAAAATTAATTACTGTTTTAGATATATTTTCCAGATTTTTTTTTTTATTGGTAGTGAACTTATTAGAGTAAACATGTGCACAATTGTCATCATTTAAAATTTGCATGATAAATATGTTTGGAAGAAGTTCATCAACTTCATTATCAAAAACTATGTAGCAAACAGGGCAGCGTAACTCATTGAAGGTCTCCACAACAATATCTAAACACTTTTTACAAAAAGTGTGCTGACATGGCAACATTTTATTATTAGTATCAAGATAGTCTAAGCAATGACGACACTCCAATAATTTATCCAATAAATTTTCATCTATTTCCATCTTTTTACATTTTAAGCTAAAATTTTAAATCAAAGTATATTTAATAAAATTATACTAAAAAAACATAAGTAATGATATTGTAAATATTAATTAAAAACTAATAAGTATGGAGTAAATTCTCATAATCTAATAAATTAAATAACATGTTAACAAAATAAAAAAACAGGTTATATAACAGAGTATAATTTTAGTATAATTATTATTTAGTATAATATAATATAACTCATTAAAAGTATATTGTAAACAAATAAAATGTTTAAAAATGACTTGATTTTTCGGATCATACTGACTTATTATATAAACATAATTAGGTATATAAACTAATCTATTGATTGGATTTAAATAGATCTTACTATATCATAGAAAATTAATAACTTGTTCTGTATAAAATTTTATCTATATATTTTATTATATATATCTATTATAATATATTATAACAAATTACTTGTTACAATCAATTAATCCAAAGGATAAAATTTAACAGAAAGATACTAAAGAACATATAATACCATAAGTTGGATTTAAGTTACATTACACTATCACATAGAATTCTGACAAAAAAATAATGAAAAACAATTATTAAATTTAGATTTATGATTATAAGCTTTTATCTACTTGTAGTTTATTTTTCTTTCCAAAAAAAAAATGTTTTAATTTATATTTTGATATATACTAGATAAATTTCTATAAATGTATGCTATAACAAGTTAAATTTATTAAACTTTTTTTATACTTTATCATGATGATAGTTACACAATTGAATCATTTTTTTAAAACATACCCATTTTGTTTACTGCATGCTGTAACAATACCCGTTGTACAATCCATTTTTTGTCGTTAATATTCGATATTTATAAGATCCACTACATTTATAAAACCTTTAAAATAATTATTATCTTTTATCATCGTCCAAAAATAATAAGTTTGTTTTCAAAATTGTAACATTTATAATTGCTACAAGTGACATTAAAACTAAACACGCGGTCTTATCACAATACTTGTTGAAGAATGCAAAATCGACAGATCAGCCTTTAAAAACATTTTTTGTGAAGGTTAATTATAAGAAAATATATTTTCATTAAAAAAATATATACTGATAGAAAAGAAATATAATTAATGATCATTTGAATTGATGAGCACATCATAACGTCATAACCCGAATTTTTATCCAAAAAAGATGTCTTTAAGTCATGTATACATTTATATTATACGATAATTTATTTAGATTAGTAGAATATCGTTTCAATTTTGCACTATTACATTTTTTTTTTTTACATTTAAATTTTACAGTACATAATTTTATTTTAAATCGAGTCAATAGTTTTTTAACGGACATATAATGTTTTAATTGTTTAAATTTATAATTAAGATAACAACAAACAATTGAACATTTATAACACATTTCTGTACAATATTTTTGTTTCAAATTTTAACAGATTACCAGGTATGTTATACTATTTTTATGTGTTCCTATTACGATAAAATATTTATCTTATACTTATTTTAAAGGTTATTAAGTTTATATAAGATTAATATTTTTTGAAATATCTACTATCATTATCGCGCAATATTATACAAAACCAATTTTTAACTGTTTTTGAAATTTTCATTAATACGATTTTAAGCACTTTTAGAGGTAGAAGGGCTGTCCTCTTGCGTTCCCCTACTTCAAGCCCTGCTTTCAATTTATATATGAATTTATAATTTTGTTAGCTTAATTATAAACTTTTAGTGATACAAAAAATTCGTAAAGACCTTTTTTCTTTACATTGTTATTATTATTATTATTATTAATTCTGTGGAATTGTTTCTATTTATATAAATTGAAAAGATATATACAAAAAACTAAATTCCTGCATCCTTTTGTCAATTTTCCAACCCCTTTGAGGCTCGTGAAGGAGTTGGACGTTCAAAATTCATTAATATTTTTGTATGCTGTNACTTAGGATGTTCAAAATTCATTAATATTTTTGTATGCTGTATAGAACAAAATTCCGATCTCTTGGCATCAAATTTGTTTAATAAGTATATAACGAAGTATAAATAAAGACCACTCTAATACACAATGTGTATTTTGACGTATAATTCCAGACCCACGTGTGTATATTTAGAAACAAATTTACTAATATTATTACAATCGACAGTGCACACCGATCACGGATGGCATAAAAACCTATCTTAACTAGATTCTTTATTGTCAACAAACGCGAATACATCTATTATTAGTTAGTAAAAATTAAATTTTTTAATGTCCCAATAAATTCAATATTATTTCATTAAATATGTGTAAATAAAATATTTTTTCTGTATCCTAATTTAAATATCATACAATTGTGGGGGCCCCTGTACTGCAGCCCACTCAGCCCTCCCCTAAATCCGACTCTAATACACATGGTAGATGTATAAACAAAAATTCAATTACATTGTTAATATTTCAAAGCTGAAAATTGTACAATACATTTCTATAAATATCAAATTAAATGTAAGTATTTAAACGATGTCTAAATTGATTACAATAATTTAACTATTAAATAAAAATTACATTATTATTTGTATTATTTACAATAATATTGTACGTCATTAAAGAAGTTGGAAGCTGACAACTCTTTTTCTTTTGCCACTAGCGTTTTTGACGGGCAATTAAACATCTTCTAAAAATAAAAGCAGAATATATATGAGTATAAATGTATATTCAACGTTGAGTGTATAAAAACCTCTACCGAACAGACGCGCAGCTTCATAACAACTGTAGTGGGTGTTCGACAATAGCAGATTTTGCCTTTCAGTCAAAATCCAAACAGTTCTGCAGTTTAGCAGGTCAGCAGTTTAACCATTTCAAATACTGAATAAACGCTTACAGAAATATGCCGGTAAGTTAAACCTCCGTGTGGACTGTATTTTACATGATAAGAAATGTTTTTTTAAATATCCATGTTTAATTAATATTTTGAATTTATTCGTTAATTATGCAATAAGAACATGGTCGAACTTATATGTATGTTTTTTTCTAAAAAATGATTGAAACAATGTAAAAGTTCAAAATTTGTTAATCATAATAATTTCAGTTTAATTTTGTTCTTCTTTTTTTTAACGGAAATTATTACGCTACCATAATATCAATACGTTAGAACACAAGTGCTATGTCCATTTTTTTAAATATTGAGTTATTAGTACCAACAAATCAGTGATAATGTCGTCTATTAATTGGTAGAAATATTAAAAAGCTAATAAAAATATAACATAGCTGATTTTCTTAGGTATTGATGTAATACACTGTAAAAAATAATCCGAAAATGCCCACACGTCTTTTTGATACTTTTAATGTACACGTTAATTTTGCACACAAGTAGTGTATTTTTGAAATTTCGAATATAAATATAACATTTTTATCACAATTTGTTAAAATTTTCCCTTTCATTGTATGCATTAAAAACTTAATATATCACAACTTAATGAATATTTAGACATTTTTTTGAGAGTTGAGTAATCATTTTAAATAAATAAATAATCAAAAATTATAATTATTCTTTAAAATAGAAATTACCTTCTTTGACTGAAAAACTCTAAACTGTTGAAAATCATTAAAAAATAACTTATATTTACGTATCAATATTTAATAGTTCAGTAAATTTGTATGTTACTTAGTTTTCCGAGTCTGCACCCAAAGAAAAACCTCAATCAATTTTGATAGAGAAATTTTATCAAGGGTTTATGATAATGTTTTATTAATACGAACAAAATAATTATTCTTATGAATAATTATTGTTCAAGATAAGAAAAAAAATCATCATATTGATAAATATATCATAGATTCAATAGTAATGATATATTTATCAAATTGAACAATGAATTTATTATATAGATCGAGGTTTTTCTCTGGGTGTGGAGAATACAGTTGACTGACGTGCCTCCTTACATTATCTACTAAATAAAAAAATTCTAAAGAGTGATAAAGTTAACAAAGAAAAATTTTGACGTCTAAATAGTTTGTTAATTCTCTTGAAAATTTCTGGATCCTATCTGTTTTATATTTTAAGATTGATTTGAAATTGTAGTGACGCAAAAAAAGTTTTAATAAATATTTTCAGGGAGCGTGGCTTCTGCTTGTACCTTAAGAATAAAATACAAAATATTTTAAAATCAAATTTTTAAAGTTAAATAAAAAGTACAGTTTTATATTAGTATATACTAATTAATAATCAAGGAAAAAATAAATATATATTTATATTTTATTAGTTCATTTGAGTTTATTTTAATATTTTTTCGTTTAGATATTAATATAAAACGCAACCTAAGTAGTTTAATAAATAAAGATTAAATACATTTTATAGTTTTAGGTCGTGCAGCTTTATGGCCTAACGAGTACATTCATTTAAAATAATGTTAATAGTTAATTTAATAGGATTTTCATAAAAATAACTTTTAGAGTATTCTAGAATATTTTTGGGAGTTTTTAACGACTAACATCTGTTATAGACTGGCATGTTATAAAACTACGTTTAAAACTCTAACGTCAAATTTTTTTCAATATAAGCTGAGATTGGTATAATTAAATCAGACTTAAGTTGTTCAATCGAGATTAAAAAAGCCAAAAAAAAAAAATATAACAAATCGTGGACATTGATTAAGTGTATGTTTACTTATATTTGAAAAAATATGTGTAGTCTGTTTCGAGGAAACGGAGTAATACATTATGACAACTGTTGAGTACAAGAGCTTAATGTCAATGTGCCAAATTTTTGTTGTTCTTGAGCAGGAAATACAACTTTGTGTCATTGTCATTCAGTTTTTAACGCGTGGCTAATTTATAAAATATACTGCGAAAAATATATGAATTATTCAGTCATTCACGAAAGTTTCTCATTCATAAAACAAAACAAAAAAACTATCACCAACTATTAATCGTGTACTGTTCTGCCTACGAACAAGATAAACTTGACGTATTCATCAGTTACCAAATAAACTCTTAAGACTTAAGAGTTATGATACTTAGTATCATACATGATTAATAATAAAAACAAAACAGAGAAAACAGTATTATTTTCACTGCCCTTGGACAACTACAAGTTTTGTGTAAGAATTAAAAATACACTGCTTGATACCCAAATAGCTTTTTTTTAGCCGGCAAATAAACAACGGTTTATTTATTTTCTGTGTAATCAAACTAATTAAGTTTAGTAACGCTAATTGATGACGCTTTTATCTTTAAATTTAAAAATATATGATAATTAATCGCAAAATTTTACATTGAGTCAAGAAATTAAGTTTGTTTTTATGTTTATATTACTTATAAAAATTTCTTTATTAAAGTGTGAGTTTTAATTTGACGTGAGTAAACAAGGACACGTCCTCGCAGCCTTCTTTGAAAAATACAAACCATTATTATTATTTTGCCAAAATCATTGAGTTGATATAATACATTTCTTGGATAACTATGTTTGAAAACATAGGGCACCTAATACTTAAAAAAATAAAATTCATAATTATAAATCTAGAGTGTTGCTAATTTTGATAAATACCCTACCAAATCGATTTGATCTAATCTGATTATCGCATAAACCTGAATGGAGAAAATCCAACAGAAATTTTTTTATTCGTCCCTGTTTTGGTTTGCTTAACTATTTTCCAATATCTTCAAATAAATACAGAAATCCATTAGATTCTGATAGAAAATTAAATACAAAGTTTATCCGTTTTCAGTCTACTCGCATTTAATATCGTATTTTTTTTTTTGAGTTTTCGTTATAGAGTTACATAGTATTACTTTTTTATTCTTGATTTTTCTATTGGTACTTCAGATTATGTATCTAAATTAGACAACGGTTTTTAAAATGATTTTTCACAAATATTACTATATTTATTTAATTTACTACACGAAAATTTCGTTGCGTTCATATTCAATAGTGTTTAATAATTGAACATTCATAATAAATCCAATTAATACAACTAACACAAAAATTCATCATAATCAAGATATTTCTAAAGATTTTAAACATGTCTTTTTTAAACTGTCAAAATATTTTAAAAAGTAATGAACGTAAAAAAATTTATATTATTACAATACCTATTGGTTTTTAGCAAAATTGTCTTCATTGCATGTATTTTTTATCAAAAAATTATACAGTAGTGCATCATAGTGTTGGCTCTATTGAACGAGTATTTTTTTTTTTTTTTGTTGTAATAAAACATATACAAGTTTGTTATACACGATATTATATCTTGGCAATGATCCGTACTGCATAATAATAAACTATACCATTTAACTAAAGATGTATGAATTATAATTAAGTATTCAATTAAGACTATCAAATTTGATAATATTGTGCCCGATTATCAATAATTGATCTAAAAAATAATAATTTGTAAAAATATACTACAAAATTTAAGAAAATATTGATTGAGATTTTATTTAATAACATATACATTATGTTATGTCAATGATAATTTACTATTAATGTTCAATGGGTGTTAAAGTGTAAACTTGCACAACTATTAATTATAAAGACAGACATTTTTTTCTTTTTGTGAATAATATCTATTGAACCGTTGCCAATATTTTAGTTTTTTTTTCTCATCGTTTCATCGCCAAGAGTGACTTTTTGCTATGGTTAGTGACCACCTTAGACGTTGAAGTCTATCTAAAAATAATTGTGACAACTTTATATTAAATTATGCATATCGTGTATAGTTTAAAGTATAACTTATAACATTAAATCGAATTTCAGGCCAGAAACAAGGAGCAAGAACAAGAAGTGTTGGAATGGATAAGTCAAGTGACTGGAGAAAAGGTTCCAAAAGGTGATTACGAAGATGTGTTAAAGGACGGTGTATTATTATGTAATCTAATTAACAAAATTAGTCCTGGATCAGTAAAGAAAATCCAAACCAAAGGAACTAACTTCCAGCTAATGGAAAATATACAAAGGTACGTTATTTTTTTTAAATTAAAAGACAATTTGTAAGTGAGCCATAGTGTCATAAAAAATGAAATTATTATTTTTATGCATCATATCTTTAAAGTCTTTTAGATTGCCAAATTAATAAAACGCTCAGTTAATATTTGTGCACATAATTAATATTATTTAAATCTTTTATGTTTGAAAAATCGGATGACTAGGTAATGTTTTATATCAAATATGATGACATAGATTACTAAAAGTTTAGAATAATTTTAATAAATTTAATCCAAAGCTCAAAGGCGTCATGCGTGGGCAAAACTTATAATTTTGTCACAACAACTTTTTTAACGATTACAACAGCAACAAATTTATTTGATAAAAATAATAATTTCAATTATTTTTAGAAATTTGAGTATAAAATACATAACACGACGTTCATATCTCTTAGACTAAATATAATGATTGTTCAAAAAACAAACCACTAATATAAACATTTGCTATAAATTTTCTTTATTGAGGACATATAATTTTTTTAAGCTGATTGTTATGATAAATATAATGTTTTGACGAAAACACCAGAGTAAATAACTATTATTAAAAAATGATATGTTATAAATTTAAATAAAGGCGTTTTCAAATAGATTTACTTCTTTAATAATTAATAAATTATTAATTACCTATCTTAATGAATTTTGTCAAAAAGTATTAAAGTAACTGTTACTATAGGTTCCAGGCAGCTATTAAGAAATATGGAGTACCCGAAGAAGAAATTTTTCAAACTGCCGATCTGTTTGAACGAAGAAATATACCTCAAGTGACTCTTTGTCTATATTCCTTAGGAAGAATTGTAAGTGTCGTAAAAATGTTTATTTTTTATTAATTCTTATTGATTTTCAAAAATCAAATTTTTTTATGAAACTTTTTTAACATTTTAAAATACATATACTTAATAGCAAATCTAAACAATTTTTTAGACTCAAAAACATCCAGAATACACTGGACCAAGACTTGGACCGAAAATGGCTGATGCTAACAAGAGAGAATTCACTGAAGACCAGCTAAGAGCATCGGAAGGACATTTAAATTTGCAAATGGGATTCAACAAAGGAGCATCTCAAGCTGGATGCGGATCATTTGGCAACACAAGGCACATGTAACCTAAATAAAATTCAAATTATTATTTATATTATCTAAACTCACACATATGAGTTTCCTATTGTCATTATTCTATTTAAACATTTATAATTTATTTACTAACAATTGACTTCGATAAATTATATTATTATTTTCAATGAATTTCTATATTTTTTTAAACTTTTTATCGAGTTTTTAGATTGCAACTATATATAGTCAAGGTGTATACTTTTTTTGTATTTTATGAATTTACCATAATTGCATTAAGAGTGAATGGATATTAAAGGTTACATATCTAATAAGTTATTTGACCATTATCTAGTTAAAAATTCTCGTGAAAAGCTATTAATATTCTATAATACTTCACTTGAATAAAAAAATAACATTAAAAAAAAATGTACATAGGTAATACATGTATTTAATATTAAATTATTTACAAACAAAACTTAAGTAAAAATTTTCATGACACACCTGATTTATACCAAAAGAAAATTTATTTAAATCTATATTATAATATACTTGTAAAATTATAATTAGATCATATTAAGGTTAAAATCATGTTCCCAGATTGACACAATTTCTTTATTTCTTAGATCTCTTATTACGAAAAAGAAGAAATTAAATTTTGTATTACTTAGTTTAGCACATTTCAAAGACGTTCTAAGAGGTACTATTGCATCTCTGTTATTTTTCGTGTCACCATAAATATAACAACCAACGCAAATTATACTATCTTAATGATCAAGTTCATAAATATATCTTTGAATTTTTATTATTATAAAATTGTTTCTGCGACAACAGTTCCAAAGAATTTTGAAAATCACTGATAATGACGACTTTGAATGATCTACGGAGAGGGAAAATAAAATATTTTGATCGTTTATTTGTGGACTTATACCAAATGATTGATGATGGCAATAATTAACAGGCGAATGCTCTAGTTTCAGTAGTGTAGCTAGGATTATTTAAAAGAAGTTAAAAAATTATATCGTTGAACCTTATCTACTTTTTGGAAATAAAATTTATTTTATTTTAATATTTTGACTAAAATATTTAATATTTTAGTCAATATTGATATAGCTACGCTATTGGAAAATGTTATGTAGTAGGTAATCAATTAATATTATTAAAATTATTAAAATATAAATTATTAAAATCTGAAAACGCTATACGCTCCCATTGATTATTCGATTTTATGCAGTTAAGATAAATCTAATTTGTGTCAATATATGAAAACAATTTTGGCAAAGAAAAACGAGCATGAATTATTGGATGGCGCCCATATGTAAAAAAAACTGTTCATAAAAATATCACAAGTAAGTGCAATGTGTAAATATATTTTAAATACAGACTTTTTTTGTATAAAAACTTTTTTAATAGAACCAACATGGTACCATAAAAAAATTAATACCTATTAAACGATGTATTAAAAGTATTAATAATTTTTTTATTATAATGTTTCATGGTTTCAGTGTTAACTACACTATCTTATGTATTTCAATATATAAATCAATAAAAGTGGCATATCAAAAAAAGAATGTGTCTAATACAAACGTTGTATGTAGATAGTGGCCATAAACAGATTGACATTTATTTTTAAATATTAAGTAGGTCCCTCTTTTTATACTTATTTCAACCGACTTATAGAAATAATTTGAAAGAAATTTTTTATTTTTTCATACATAAATAATGCAAATTAATTTTTTAAATTAAACTTATATTATTAAATAATTAGAACTATAAAATTTGATTAATGCAAAACTAAGTCTGAATTTCCTTATAACCCTTCATTTTTTTAATTAGGGTTGTATTTAGGTTAAATTGTTTCATTAAATCTAGCTGTAAAATTATGAACTACCTTTAAAAATTCCGTTTGTATAAGGAGGACAAACATTTTATAACAATACATGTTTACATTAGAATTTACGATATTATTTTATCAATTCTATTTATTTCTTCCATATAATAACAGACATCTGGAGACATATAATAACAACATCAACTCTTCATAGCATTCAAAAAATTAATTAAAAAGTGGTTATGAAATTTTAATAATCCTTAAATCTTAACAAATTTCTGGAGTAAAAAAATTTTTTTTTACACATTTTCATAATAGAAATTTCTTCTGACTTTTCTAACTCCTAATAATTTATAAATTGATTTTTCTTTTATTATTTTATATTATGATTGTTCTTACTATAATATTTATATATATTTGTAAAAAGTATTAGCTAAAAACTTTATGACCTTTTAATGTATTAGAAATAAGTTAATTTTTAAAAACTTAATAGGGTAATAAATTGAAAAGTTTTGAGGAACGTTTTTTTCTCTATTTTATCTTATCTGAATAAATGCCAAAATAAAACTAACTTAATTAAATCTAACTGTCTACTTATTGCCAGATATTATGTGTACTAATATTAATTATTTCTGTAAAGAAATACTACTATTTTTCTCTAAAATAAAATTGAAAATTACATTTCTATAGTAAAATTTTTGATTCTGGATTCACTTAACATATTTTTTACTTAATCAAACAAATTAATTTGTATAATTTTATCCTAAATATATAACTACTGTAAATATTGATTTACAAAATTAAATTTTTTTAATTATCAGAGATAATAGACAAAGTATTTTATTGAAATAAGAAGACACGTTTTCATCAAAAATAAATTTTATAAAAATAAAAAAATTATATAAAATAAAATTTAAACATTAAAATCAATATTTTGTCATTAAAAAATTAAATGGTAGATGAGAAATAATTTTCAAAAATTATAAAAAATTTAAACAAAATTACAAAATGTTCAATTATTTAAAAAATAGTAATAAAGTTATTCATTTAACTGTGAAAAAATGACAACAATTTTTAACATTGTCATTTTGATATCTTGAGATAGTTTAATATATATAATTTTATATACTGTCTTTGTTGTAAATTATCTCTCGCATTTCTGGAACCCATTCATATACGATAGTGTTACGATCGGCAGTAAGTACACCGACTTGTTCATGATAATCAACTATGAAAGTTAGAGTTTTATCACGATTATTACCAAGAACATGTGTATGAGTGAGTGCACTCATTGGCTGCATTTCTTGTCTACGTGTGATGCTCTGGTCCATAATAGATTGCTCATCGTTGTCTAAATCGTTAAATTTGATAGTTTCGGCATAACTAACAGGAATTTCGTTCAATGGGGTCGTCAAAGTTATATACTGAGGACCTGTACACGTATCAGTACAGATCGTATACAAGCAATCTTCTCCCCATGGAGTTGATATTTTGCATTTGAGACCACAATGGTCAGTACTATTTTGATACTTAAGATTATTCAAAGTTGTTGGCTCCGAACAATTATTATTAATAACGACGTTCATATCCAGTCGTTCATGTTCAGAAATGATAGGTATATCATTGTTTAAAACAGATTCTCCATCAACGTCATTTGTAATGAGTATATCAGGATTATTTCTAATATCACTTTTTGAACAATTGCATACCTCTGGTTCGAAAACCTGATTTTGGGACATACTGGCTAAATCAACCTTTTCAGAATAACTGGTATTTTCCTCGCCAATATTTGATTTCTTGTGTTGATCATCAACAGAGTTGTTAACATTTGGTCCCATATTAGCAACAAAATCCTTTGGCATATTTTCTATTCCTGTACCATCACCTGAGTCTTTAACAGAGTCCGGATCATTTCCAACAATAATTTCAGGCCTTTTATAGCCTTCCGGTGAAATAACGGGATTTTTTATCATAGAAATTGAATTTAAGAACATACTCTCGAAATAATCTTTTCCTAGACAACTATAATTTTCCACGGAAGGATACCAGTAAAAATCTCGAGTCTTCATTTCTGTACCAACATCTGCACCTCTAATAGTCGTCATGCCATTTTCTGCTGCCAAATTATAAATCAAGTTTAACGAAACAAAAGCAACATTTCTTTTTGTAGATATAATATAATCTATTTTACTGTAAATTAAAAAGCTTATAACTCACCAGTCGTTAAGTCGTGAGTACTCTTTGTAGCATTAAGTTCACGTTCCGGGTCCAACAGCCAAGGGTAATTTTCAAACGACCAATCATTGTCAACCTCGTACTGCAATTCACAACATCTTTAAAATAATTAGTATTAGTATAAAACTGTTTAAAAACGTATTACTTTTTAACTATACTAAATTAAATAAAAAATTTTAAATTGTAAATATTGATACATTCCAGTTGTATTTTACTTTTATAAACAAATTAATTAAATTATTCATATATATTTTCGCTTGTAAAAGTTTATTCATATCTGTGTCGCATATAAATATCTTAAATATTATGTATTAAATCTACTAAATTATTTTTCAGTATAATAAAGAAATTACATTTTTTTATTCGATTCGTCCAAATCTTCATCAAATTTGCGTTTCAAATTAAAATTTTGCGCATAACTTCTAGATGAAGTTGATCTTTCGTCCGATGAATCATCGCTACTGGACGACGATGAACTACAACTTGACGAGCATGAACTACAACTCGACGACGATGAGCTTCCAGATGAAGTCGAACTTTCGTCCGATGAATCGTCGCTACTAGACAAAGATAAACTAGAGCCTGGCATATTTTATTTGTGTACACGCTATTTTTAACAAAAAACTGTGTCCACGAAATCAATTTGCTTCTGATATTGTAGAAAATGTGTTAAATTTTATTTAATAAACATCCATCTAAGTGTCAAACGCAAAACTGACAACTAAATATATTAATCGAACTAAATAACTTAAATAAACAACTAGGTAACTATGTACAAATTGTTATTATTTAATTTTAACCAGTAATATTATAAAAAAATTTTAACATCCTTCAGACATCCCGATACTTCAGTTTAAGGGTTTTTAACTAAATTTGACAATTTCAATTATATAAAGCTTTTTATTTAATAAAAACAGAAAATAGATATCAGAATTTTTCATCTCAAAAAGTAAAACAAGCATTTTCTATGAAATAAAACAGCTGTATTTTTTTATGTTATAGCATATTTATTAAATAACATTATATTAAATAACAATTTTTTTGGTCGATTTTTGGCTGACTGGCCCGTTATTCAGCAACGCAACGTTCATAACCAGTTGGCGGCTGGTATAAATAATAATACCACCCTAGAATTTAAACGTCAACAAAACTAGGTGGCACATAGATATCATTCTTGCCATAGCCACAGTTTTCATAAACTATTTAAAATGCTGTTATGACCTTCTGAATTCCTGGTACTGTTTTTTTCCATTTATGCGTTGTTCGCAAACACTGATCTCAATTTTTAGTCTATAGATATAAAAATAATACTGTTCAGTATGTGTTTATCGTTGATAATTGTAACAATGTTGCCAAAATACATATCTGCGATTATTTAGTAATTTTTTTGTGGCTTTTTTAATTAAATATTTTTAATATTCTTTTACTTTTAAATTAATATTTTTAATTTTAATTATATACTTCATTTAAGTTTTTTTTATGTCAAGTCATTTTATTAGGTTGAAACAATAATTTAAAAATTAGATACATGACACTAGAATTAAAATTTTTTTGCATTTTTTGTCTTCAACTAGATGAATAAATATTTTGTTTAAACTATATTGTTAAAAGTTATCTGAACTACATAATTTAAATTATACTTTATTATTTCAGTCCCCATGGGGATTAAAAAATAATTATGTATTCAACTATTGTACATGCACATGTGCAATAATACACAAATTATTTAAAATGTCAAATCACTTTATATTTTTCAATTTTTTTTTTATTTCTATAAATTCATATATATTTATTATATAATCTATAAGTGACCATTTTGGTCGATGGCATTACAAATTGTATTAATTATAAGTAAAAATTATTACATTCATTGGTTATTTTTATACAATAAGACTACTAACTCAACAATTTAATCACTTTGTCAATTTTTTACATGTTTATTAGTAAATAATAATTTAGTGTACTAACAATATTTAAGAAATATTTACAAAAGAAAACATGTTGCACAAGATAACAATTCTTTTTATGATATGCTGTAACAATGATTTGATAACGAATCAGTTGTGTATTTATATTTTTACAAGCTAGCTATAAAAAAGCCAACATAATCAAGAGAATATATTTCAATTTTTAATAAAGGTTTGAAAATTTATTTAGAAAAAATGTAAGTGCAGCAAAAAAATAAAAAGATAGCCAGTAAACATATGGCAAAGACTTAACCTCAAGGACGGGTTCGTTTTTATATTGTCTTCTCTCAGATTGAAAAAAAGAAATTAAAAACAAAGTAATGATTTCAACATTTTTAAAAGATGTATAATAAATAAAAAAAATTGTAAGATGAAAAGTAAAAAAACTCTTAAGGTTTCAAAAAAGTAATATAAAAGAATTCAACTATTTAAAGTTAATGTAAAAAAAAATCCACGTAATATAAAAAGTATAAAAATTCTTGATACATATAGCAGCTAAAAAAAAATATAATGGAACACAAAAAGGCGTTATCCTAAAATACATCAGTCGATGAATTTTTACATAACGATATTAGTTTAAAAGTTATATGATTTTTCTAATTACACATATTAAAAACTATTTTGATCTATATATAAAATTCCTACAATTAGATATTTAACAATAAATTATAGTTGTTCAAATTTTCAGATTGTTGTAAAAACAATATGAAAAATAAAAGTTTGTCAAAATAATTGTTTGTTGAAACATGGAATTTTTATGTAAAAATTTAAATTATAAGTAATTAAATATAAATTAAGTACATAGGTATTTAGTCAGTTTCTAAGCAAATAATATATTTCGATTACACACGAAAGAATACGTGTAGAATATAAATGTCAGAATAGGAACAAGAGACAGACTTGTGAGAAACTACATATATTCAACAGTGACTTATCTATAGGGTATGTTATCTAATAACCACCCACATGTGTGCGTGCATGATAACAGTTAAACAGCGTGCTCAGTGTAAAACATGAACACGTCTTCCCTATCTCAGTCAGAATATTGGTCAAATGAACCTAAATATTCAAGAGCTGCCTGATAACAAAACTGATATTGTTCCTAAAAAAAAATAAAAATAAAAATAAAAAATTTCTAGTACATTAAAGACTTGAATAATTTACTTCTGTTTGAACCATAGCTGGACGCTGTGTACGTAATATTCTAATAGTTTGAAAGAGATCTATTGCACCTTCACATTGCATGCGTTCCAATACAATGCTAAGAGATATAAATACACCAGTACGACCCACTCCACCACTGAAAAAAAAATTAATAAAATTTTAATATATAAATTAAAAATACACAATTTAAAGAGTCGTAACTAACATTTCTACAGTTCTTTAGGAGAGCCATTTAAAATTTTAGATGGCATATTTTTTTTGAATAACTTTTTTTCTTATAATTTCTAATTCAATTAATGAAAGAAAAGAAAATGTTGTTTTGTGGGAATATAGAAAAAATTTGTTTTATCAGAATATGTAATAATCATAAAAATTAAAAATATATAATTNAAAATTTGTTTTATCAGAATATGTAATAATCATAAAAATTAAAAATATATAATTATAATCCTATTTGTTAGAGATGGTGAATTATCACACTTAAATTAAAAGTGGTTTAAGTCCATTTTATCATTTTTTAGAAGGTTATTAATTTGAAACATTTTTATCCCATAAAAAATAACATGAATGTTGATTTTAAAAATTCAATAATATAATTTTACTGATATCATTGAAAACAAAAGAAATATTAAATTTGAAATATTTATTTTCAATTCTAAATCATTTTACCCAGTATTTAAAAAATACAAATCTAATTTAAATAGTATAAATATAATACTAAATATTATACACTACCTGCAATGCACAGTAATGGGACCTTCTTGTCCAAATTGTTCTTTAGTTTTATGTACTTGTCCAATGAAATCTATGAATCCTTCAGCTGACTTAGGAACTCCTTGTTCCGGCCAATCAGTAAATTGGAATTGTCTAACAGTCCTTGATGCATTATCAATAGTATCAGTTACTTTAAACTCTCTAAGTATGTACTGTGGCATATTATATTCAGTAATAGGTTCAACAACAAAAGTGTCATATCGAACTGATCTTTCAGAAGGCCAATATTGGTAGCATTTCTCCTAGAAATTTATTAAAAAACACTTAATTAGCAAATTTTTAACTTACTAGAAAAACACAAATATAATTCAAAATGTACTTACTCTTCCCATTTCATGTAGTTTAGTTAACATAACTACAATAGTAGAGTTGTGTTCCCAGAGCATACGCCAAAAGTCATCAGTTGTATTCTGTAAAGGACCTTGTGTTGCTATATAAGCACTTCGTTGTCTGTAACCATCAATGAAATTAGCATTTATATAATCAGATCCTTCTAAACCTCTTGAAGAACCTCCACTTAGACACACTCTAGTACTTTCAAATGGTAAAAGATGAACTAGACGATTTTTGGGTTTATTTACTGGTAAACTAGCACTGACAAATCGACAAAATTCACTTTTAACTAATGCCAGTTTCTACATAAAATAAAATGTTGAAAATATTAGTTATTTATAGTTTAACAGTTATTAAAAAATCATGTAATTACTTTGAACTCAAGTTCCATTCCAGTAACTGTTGTTGCAGGATCCATCTGAGACAGTTGTTGAATATGCATAGGTAAGTTACGCACAGCAATCTCTGTTTCACCACAAGTAACAGCTTCCAATAAGGCATCGTGTATAAAAATATACTGTTCTTCAGTCTGTGAAAATAATTTTTAAACATAACACAAATTATCATAAATATAATAAATTACAGTTAAAAAGATTACATATATGATATATGTAATCTTTTTAACTAAATAATAAATTGAAATTTTTCCTTACTTGAACCATGTAGTTTCTTTGAGCTCTCAAACAAGTAACATGGGCATAAATGTCTACAGTATGTTCATGTTTTGCACGTTCTAACATAGCATCAATGACAATAAAACAGCCTGTTCGTCCAACACCAGCACTGCAATGCACAACTACAGGACCTGAATCCATAAGATTAACAGCTCGTACACGTTTCATAAACTGTAACAATGGTGCTGGGTGGTCAGGTACACCATGATCAGGCCAAGCTCCAAATTGAAGTTGTTTCACTTCTCTTGTTTCATTATCAGTAGCTCTAGTCAAGTGGAAAGATCGTATAACATAAGTAGATAATTCTTGAACATTAACTAATGTAACTGTTATAGGTCCATAGACTTGAGATCCTCTTGATGGCCAATATTGATCACATTTAACTCTTGTTCGTTCTTCTAACTTGGTCATCATTACAATTGTTGAAGTTTTAACTTCCCAACACATTCGCCAAAAATCACTAAATGTATCTTGTAATGGTCCTTGAGTTGCTATATAAGCATTATGTTTACGATAGCCATCACAATAGTTAGCATTAATATAATCACTACCCACAATACCATCAATTGGATGTAAAACAACACGTGAATGATCATAAGCAATAACATTAGCATATCGATTTTTAGGTTTATTAACTTCCATGTTAGAATGATCCCAAGTAAATTGTTGACCAGGTTCTATTGATTCATATTCTTGAGAAAATTTAAAATTATCATTTGCTTTTAGTAAATCAATGTGTTGGGCAAGATAATTTATTGATACTGGTGGATGAGAGACCATAGCAGGAGTTTGAAATTGTAACCTACGTAATTCCACAGGATCATTGTTGGGATGTGAATTACCTATTAGAGGTTTAGTCACTCCAGATGTTTCACCATACTTGTTTGGACGACGCCGTCTGAATAAAAACAATTGAAGAAATGAAATTAATAACAAAAATAATTAAAAATTAGAGAGTTTTTTCTTACTTCTTAACAACAAATAATAACACAAGAGCAGCTGTGAGCAAAATGGCGGCAATAACCGGTCCAACTAACCATAAAAGTTCTGGAGAAGAAGCAGCACTACTCCTCACACTTACATGGTCATTGCCAATGCCTGGTATATTATTACCAGGCATATTTATATCAGATAATCCAGGTTTTTTAGGAGTATCACCAGGGCCAACTTCTCGCATTTCCAAAGATAAAGGTTCAGAAAATGGACTAGAAGTGTACAAATGCTAAAAACAAGAAAATATTTTTTTAATTAATAAAAACAAAAAATTATAAAAATATTACTTTTTGAGGGGTATCCACAAATGCACGAACAAAAATTTTATACTTGGTGTTATGATCCAGTTTACGATTTACAAATCCATCATAGGTTTCTCCATTTCCTAAGTAAAATGTCCATGGTAAACTGCGATGAGGAAATTTGGCAGTGATATATGGCTCACCCTCAGCCAATAATTCTTGTTGAGAATTTTCAACCAACTAAAAAATAATAATTAGAGTATATTCTTTAATAAAAAAAAATTATTATAAACATTTTACTTTGTGGGTTAAGAATTCATCTGGGTTCATACTTATTGTATCTGGATTTTCAGGAACTACAATTAAATAATAATGGCATATTGGTCCATATTCTTCAGAAGCTTGAGGTAAGATTACCTATAATTCATTAAAATATTAGTAATTTAAGTTATCAATCAAAAATAATTTTATGAAAAATCAAACCTGAATTTTTTCTCCGTTTAAAACACCATAAAAATCAGGTTTTACCATAGGTTGTGGAGCTGCCATTTGAGTGGTTACTGTTATTCTTGATGGTGGCCTATAGCTCTTATCTGATGGAATAGCGCTTACATTAACTGAATAACTTATAAATGGAGATAAATCATCAATGGTATGGCTCAACACATATTTGTCTAATTCAATAACACGTGTTGGCACTAATTGAAGTTGAGTCATTCCTTGTGAATCCCTGAATTCTTTTATAGCATTAAATGAAATTTTATAACCAATTGGATTTAACTTTATAGGCGGTGTCCATGATAATGTCATACTATGGGTACTCAAATCTGATGCACGTAAATTCAAAGGAACTTCATCAGGTTTGACTATAACAGTGACCTTTTCAGATAATCTTCCAAATCCCTAAAAATAAAGTTAACACAAAAGAAAGTATTTTATGAGTCAATAATTATTAGAAACATAAAAAAAAAAAATTATAATAAATGTAATAATAAAAAAATTTATAGAGTAATAGGTAATGGTAATATCATAATTTTTAAATAAAAAAAATATTATACAGATTAATCTTTGATTACTTTACCAACATTTATGCAGTTTTGATAATCAGTACACTGAGCAAAAAAAGTGATAATAATACACACCTCATTTATGATTTCATGCAATATAAACTTATTAGAGAATTATCAACTATTTATAATAAATATTATTTATTAAACAATATAAATTTTAAAATTAATCAGTTTTTATAACTATTATATTTTTTATTTTGATTTTTCCTACTATAAAAAAAAATGGAAAATTAAAGCAGTGACTAGTGTCAATGTTAGTAATAATTTATAATATTATAGTAATGAGCTACAAAAAAACATGAGTGGACTCCATACTTCAGTAGATTTATATGTATTCTTTTTATTTGGTAAAATATTATAAAATTAACATACATCATCAGTTTTAGCTACTACAGCTATAGCGTACTGAGCCATTTTCTCAAGATTTGCAAGATCTGTTGAATCAGTGACAGGAACATCTTTCGTATTCCATAGATTGAGGTCTTCTACTGCAGTCATAGTATAGTAAATACGATATCCAGTCAATTTAACACGAGCTGGAACTGCTTCCCACCAAACTTGTATACTCTGATCAGAAGTTGCTACAGCTTTTAGACCCATAGGAGCACGAACCATTTCTCTCGTTGTATTAATAGTCATTCGAGGGCTCCAAGGACCATCACCTTCGACTGTCACAGCTCTAACAGTAACTACATACTCAGTAGCTTCTTCTAATCCAGAAAATACAGCCTAAAAATAAATTTATATGTAAAATATAATAGGTTCTTTTAATTGTACTCGATTTTAGTTAACAAAATCTTTATTTGATTTATACATTATAAAGATGTCCAATAAGTAAGGAATTAGATTAATTGTTATAAACAATGACAACACTAGAAATTTGTTTCCTTACTTACTGAACACTTTATATACATTTTTATACAAAAATAATTTAAAAAGTTACAACAGAAAATAAGTTAATTTAGTATTCTAATAAAATTAAAAATGTAAATATTAATTGTAGCTAATGGTCAAGTACCCGATGTTGAATAGTCAAATGAAAATAAAAAAAAGAGGATAATATAGAAGCTTAAAAATTAGCTAGCATCTATAATCATAGAAGCCAGCAAGTCAAAAATAACCTGTCATAACATATGAAACCAGTACTGAAAATATACATTTTGACATATTTATAGATTATTTTTCTATTAAATATAATAAAATATATTTATATTTTATTTTATGTGTAAACTTAAAAAAAGTAATCTTAGTTTGAATCTTAAAAGTTACCTTGAAACATTTTGCTACTCCTAATAAAAAGAGTCTAATACTTTAATATAGAATATGTTTACAATAATTTAGGAAAACTATTTAAAATTTTAAATGAAATACTTTATCTGTAAAATTTTTTATTTTCAAATTTCTGACCTAATTTGTAAAAAGAAAAGTTATTATGAATATTCACGGAAGAAAATATGTTTTGTCAAAATATATAATAATCAGAAAAATGTATAATTTTTCACTTTGAAGGTTGAAGGTGGCGGCAAATTATTCATTAAAGTATTTATATGTTATATGTATACAAAAATAAAATGAATATTTTATGAATTTAATCTAAGGTAGTATATAAGATTATATGCTTTATAAAAACTATAATTATTAGGGTGGTTATTACACGATGAACATCAGAAATTTGATATCAAGTACCCAGCATTTTTTTCTACAGATGAAAATAAAATTTTTGGCCAATTTAGAACATAATAATTTAATTATTTTACATATCTCATAAGGATTGAACGTTGACTAAAATGGGTAAAAAATTATTTACGTGAATAATAATGGAAAATAATTTTTTTCATTATTGTTATAGAATAATTTATAGACTCCTGGAGATATTATAAAGTGTTTTTATAAAAAAAAATGTGTAATATTAAATTAAGAACATAATATATTCTATTCATTTCATAAAGTTGAATAACTCATTTGTAAGAAGATACAATAAATATTTCACATAAACTTTCTATTTAACAAGTACAAGAATTTATTACGAAAAATAAAAATAATATAATGATTTGTCACTAAAAAGTTGGTTGATTAAGAAACAACATGATAATTAAAAATTGGACTTATACAGAAAAATTGTAATTAAAAATAATTTTTGTTAAACATTATATCTTTTTAGATAATGATGCAAATATATTCTGGTTTGAGTAAATATAGTTTACAACATTAATAATGTTTCTAACTTTTTTGGTCAATTTTCAAATCTTGCGAGGCACATACATAAATAGAAGTATCATGTCTAAAATTGGCCAAAAATGTTCGTTTTTATGTATAGAACACAATATTGAGTATCAAATTTCTAAAGTTCATCATGTAAAGTGGAGCCTAATAACTATCTTAATTGAAACTATACTTTAAAATAATTGTTTAGCTAAATACCTTGTTTAACGTAGTATTTCTATGAGTTATTGTAGATTGATCAATTTTTTTGTGAAACTGAACATCATATCGTACTATTTGCCCATTACGGTGTTCTCGGGAAGGCTGATTCCACACAATACAAACAACATCTGGAGTTTGAAATTGATATGATACATTTGTAGGAGGACCAGTTGGAGGTCCTTCAGGAGTGGACAAATACTCAGTAGCTTCTTGTCCAAAGCCTACTTGATTCTGTCCTGATATATGAAACTCATATTGTACCCCACGCTCTAAAAACCAGTAAAAAAGGATAATATTAGTCAGACAAAAAATCATTTTTATTAGAAATATCCTTCCCATCATGTGAATTGACAAGAGACATAGCCAATTTTTTAATACATTAAAAAGTAATATACATAAATAAAAAACTTAAAAATAATAAAATTAATAATACCTAAATCATTTATACGTCTCTTATTTTCAGTTAACATTATATCAAACATTTCTTGGCCTCTTATACCATATCGCAATTTGTAGCCCAATAATTCCCCATAAGTGTTTGTAGGCCTAGTCCATTCTAACTCAATATTGACCTTTGGTTCTCTTTCCAAAATCCTAAAAATTAAAGTAATAATTAAAATTAATATTGTTGAAAAATATAAATATAAAATAATAATATTGAAAGGTATATTTACTTTAGACTAACAACTGGCCGTACAGGTACGCCACCAGGAGTCTTAATTTTTACAGGATGGCTTCTATCACCATCACCTTTTCTTGTGATAGCTGCTACTTGTATAGCATATAAAGTATCTGGTTGCAAGTTTGTAACATTACTTTCTAGAGCTTCAGCAACATCAAAACGCAATGGTTCATTAAGTAATGCATTTCCCTAAAAATATATAAGTAATGTTTAAAACTGTAGTATTAATATATTAATAACAGAATACCTCAGGTTTAGCTTCTTGAACATGTATATGATACCCTCTAATTATTCCATTACGTTGCTCCTCAGACGGTGGACGCCACTGAACATGAATTGTTGTGGAGTTAACTTGTTGAACTTTCACATCAGTAGGAGGTCCTGGCACTGTTATCAAATAATAAAAATTAATTTTGAAAAAAATAACTTTTTTTTAGAAAATTAAATATTAAAAAATCAAAAAACAAATGGTATAAGATTAGTAGTAACACAAAGTTTTTCTATTAAAAAAACATCACTCAAACTATTTTCATTTCATTTAATTCCAAAATATGAAGAATCAATAATAGTTAGAGTGAAAAAAAATTATTTAGAGCAAAAAACAATATCTGTCAAAAATAGAAGGTAAAAAGTGGATGATAAAATATAAGTAGGTTATAAACGTTATAGGTATAGATATGTTAAAAGAAAAATAAACTAAAACCATTAAGTAGGAAAACACAAAATATAGGTAAAATAAATAGGAAGTTTTCACAAAATGTTACAAACAATAAAAAATAAAAATCTACCAAATTAATTATACAATTGTTACTTCTCAAAAAACAAAAAAGTATCGCCGAGCTAACTATCAACGATTACACTTCTACAGGGTGAAATAAAAACCAAATTATATTTGTCCACTACATTTGGTTTTTTTTAGTACTCACTATTAATTTCTGGACGAACATATCACCAGTGAGACAGACACAATGGATTCGCAAAAAGTGTGCGAAAAACGTACCAAAAAGATACAATAAAAATATTTTTAGTGTCAAAAATACAAAAAACAAAATATATTTTTATTGTACGTGTGTGTTATAAAACAGAAAAAAAAAATGTGCAATATATTATATAATGTGTATAACACATTCAATATTATATTTTTTTTAAATTAATAGATTTCTGTGGACAAAATACAAAAAGTTCAAATAATGATATAATCCCAAAAATTACGCTTTCGATTTATTATGGACCAACAATTTTTGGCACATAAAATTTAGTTACTTATTTTTTTAAAATAAATTTAAATAATAGTAGAAAAAAATTGTGTGGTATTTATCCAAGCAATGTGCATTTTAAATTAAGCTATAGCTTTTTATTTGGCTACTAGGTGCAAATTATTAATTTTAAGTGTGCCAACTCAAATTCTGTTCCATAAAACAAAAGGTTGAATTTTTACAATAGATATGCAAATAAGTGTAAAACAATGGTATGCAATATTTTAATGAACGCTTTATTATATTTGTTAATGTAATTATGGTTTCGGAATACTTAAAAATTATGAAACAGAATTTTAAGTGGGGTTTTTATTGGTGCTTTATTTTAAATTCTACTGTGCTCTGTAGCTCTGATGTGCGCCCAATACAGAACAAATTACAATGACAGAATAAATAAGTTGAAGAGAAACATATAGTAGATAATAAAAACAGTGATTACGAAGATATAAAACTTCCACCCGTACATTAATCCATCAGCAGCCATCTCCATTAACTGTTGTACGTCTATACAAGAGTATATTTCATATTAAACAATACATTTATATTAAATAACAGTATAGATTATTAAGGTCCCTATACACATAGAGCGCTTAGTGAAAGAGAAATATCGTTTTAAGTAGGTTTTTCATAGTCTAAGTAGTGTTTTGTTTCCCTTCCAAGACATTGGAATAAGTTATATTGATTATATTGAATAGTATTTGAAATGACTGTGTGTGTGGGTGTGTGAGGGGAATGTAATGAAATATGTCATGAAGACTGTGTATCATTGCAATAGCGTGGATGCTTACCATCTTCGCGAGTGCGAACCGTGATGGGATACGAAGAAGGGCCATCACCGACCGAGGTACCAGCAAGTACCCAAATTCTGTATTCAGTCCAACGTTTAAGATCGTCAAGGGTGTATGATGTAACATTTTCCACGCGGTATTGATTGGCATCCGAATCTGACATGCCGTTTTCTGTAGCCATTACCTTGTAGTAAACAATATGACCGTTACTTCGGTCCGACGGTGGTGGTTGCCATTGGACCAATATAGACGTGGGACTGATTGCCTCTGCAGTTATATTCTGTGGAGGCGCTCCGGGCACTGTATTTATGTGAACATCAGATCGGGGAATAAAAAAAGTATAATCATAAAAGATATAACAAATAAAAATAAAATAAGATATTATAATTCTTTTTTTTTTTTTTAATAGAGATACAAATTTCTCCCGTACATTTTTTATTTCTGATGGTTTACAGATATTAAATATAACCCCACAAAATATGTTCCTCATTTTGATTGAAAAAAATCAATAAAATAAAAACGTGTAATAACAAACATCATCTATGTGCTGGTGCATAATCTAACAACATCATAAAAACACTAAGCTGCGTCCGATTTTGTAGCCTATACCCTATACTCAATATCTTGCATTAGTATACTTTCAATTCATAATTAGAACAGTTCAATGACACAAATAGCGAATAAAGAGACTATATAGAAAAATAAAAGGATGGCAACTTATGTTTATAAACATATTTATCATAACGTCTGATTATTATTATTTTTTAAATTTATTAAGGAAACAATATATAATAAAATTCTCGGTAGAAAATTAAGTTCCCTAAACAAGATTTTTTAAAGTATTATTATTGTTCTTTGAATACAATATTTCATCAGCAGCTCAGTGATTGGTAAACAGCACTCGTGCATGTGCGTAATTTATGATTCATATATAGTGTGTACTACAATTACACGCTCGCTTCTCCTACCTGATGAAACTTCCTCCAAAAATGACCTGATCTGTATAGTTCATATAACACTTACCATATTGTTTGGTCCGGACTTGTAGAGGCGGTGTAGGTGCTCCTTCGCCTCGAAGTGACTTAGCAGCTAACCAGACATAGTATAAAGTGTTCGGATAAAGACCGTTTAGAGTGTAACTTTCAGTTACAGGAACGTGTTGAGAGTGAGTCTCCTTTAAATGATAATAATATTAATAAGAATTTTGTATTATTCAGTTTTTTATTGCAATCGCAAAAAAAAATAACAAGAATTACTATTCAATTCTATAAGAGTTCTATTAGGGGTCATGTGACAAATCGATTTTGTATTATTTTGATTTGTATTATTACCTTAGCATATGTATCATTCCAGTGGAGTTCATAGCCCGACATTTGTTCTGCGTTGTGATTTGGTTTGCTCCACTGAAGGACAATAGATGTTTCGCCGATTTCTCCAATTCTCAAATCTCTTGGTTGACTGGGCACTACAAAATAAAAAATAAATAATAATCGAGTATATTTAAGTAATAAACAATCATTATCAATACGCTCTACAGGATTTGGTAATTTACATAGACTAATAAAAAAATTAAGTAGTTATGTGTTCATGGTGCAGTAACCAATTAATGTATTACCTCCTTGTTGTGTCTTAAATTGTACTGGTGGAGACAGAGGTCCAGGACCGACGTTTGTGAATGCCTGTACTCTTATTGTATAAATTGAATGAGCCGCTAGATCACTTATGGTGGTCAGTTGATTGTTGTCCACAACCATTGTGTTCCAAGAAGAGAGCTGTTCGTTGGGGTTCTTCGTGTAATACACCTTATAACGCTGATCAGAAGAAAGTTGAATAAATATAAATTAATTAAAAAACTGACAAACACCATACGCCTATATTACAAAAGTACTTACAACCACTTGACCATTTGGAGTTTCGGGTTCTTCCCACTGAACTACCATGGTGCTAGAACTTAACATCCGCACTTGAATATTTCGAGGAGCTGATCCTGGTTCTACGCAAGAAAACAATAGAACTTTTTAGTTATAGCAATCATAATAATTACAAAAGTAAACCTTGAAGATAATTAAAACAATTTGATTGTATTTAAAATTATTAACGTTGTTAATGCGCATACGATATTTTACTTATGTATATAAATTAAAATAAAGCAATTAGTTAAAGCGAATAATATTAAAATTATTTTATGGTTAATGTCGCTAAGTTCATCAGATAAATATGTTAAAAAGTAAAATATTTAAAAATATATTAATTTGGTTACTTACTTGCTCCTTCACCAAAAGCAAAAATATCCGCTAAAGTTGAAAAAAAAATAGAAAAGTACAATATGAGTATGTTTGTTTATGAAAAGTACAGTATCTAATTCTAATACAACAAATATAAGCTATAAGAAGAGTACTTAACATACTATATAGAAAATAAACGCAATAGATCCGATATCAAGAAAAAAACCAGGATCGTCTACTTATAGTCTAACTATTTAGTGCTATGTTTGTCTCTAAAAAGCTTTTAGTCTAATGAAATATTCGTTATCATTAAGCTGACATTTGATGCGGCCTTTCATTATTATTATTATTATTATTATTATTGCTACTGTACTCTTTTTTTTCTCTCACAAGCCGTCCGCCCTCATTGCCGTCTACGAAGACTAATATTTAATATTTACACATCATTTGCAGCAGCGTTTAATTAATGTACACTCAACATTTCTTTTGAGTTTACACAACGATATCAATTGAATTGACGAGTGAAAAACTTATACCTACTAAAGTAATAAGAAATATTACATTAATTACCAAGTTGAACCCTCTTTGTACAGTTTCAAAGTGGATTTTACAACTCGCTTAAAACTTTGACGTTTCAAATTAAATGGATATGAATATTTTAATTTTATCTACTCATTTGATAATAATAATATTAAATGAAACAAATTAAAAAACTGGTAATTTATGGGATTAGTTCCTAAAATAATTATTTCATAAGTCGATTCATTCCCTTGGCTTTTAGACGGCAAAACATTTTAAAATATAATTTATCTCAAGTAAAAAATATATTTATACATCTATAATAAGTGAAAATAGAGATGGTTGTGTATACGATTTATATATCAAAACCAATTTTTAAAATAAAATAATTAAAACTTTAATAAAATAACTACCTAGTTTTTCTTATACAATATATGAAGTTTATTTTGCAATTTTTTCAATTAAAATTGACGAAAACCACTTTTTAAAAAAAAATATATATATAATAAGGAACACCCCTTATAAAAAATCTTACCATTAAACATTACGGTTATTTAACTAATTTATGACAAAAGCACGTAATATATGTACTTAGAAACAGTTATTTTTAAACACACCAACAAAATTTGATTTTCATACGTTTTATAAATTTGTAATGTTGCATAATAAAAGTCAATAGAAAAAAATGAAAATTAACTCATGTCTATTTTAAAACAAAATTCCTATAATATATATATATGTGCGTTTTTATGTTTTTAAGTTAATGAATGTTAACGAGTAAACCACCTTATTTGTGGATAAATAAATACTCTTGTATACTGTTCATTAGTGCATTATAAAATGAAAAATGGCTTTCATATTTTTTTATTCATAATCTAAAGTTTTGTTTGCAGTGTACAATGTTCCATAAACGAGATAAAATAGAACAAACCACAGACGCTAACGACAATAAAAAAAACTACATATGTTACACAAATACTATATTATACATAAATTGAACATTTCTTTGGAAATATTAAAGCTCAACTATATAATAGTGTCTGATGTAGTTAAATGTAAAAATAAATAAATCTTACCAATTATTAAAAATTAAAATTCACTTAGTTCTGGTAGGGAGGTAATCGACATAAGTAAAATATAATGATTATGATTTTACCCGTTACACAGTCATTAGAGATAAAATGAGAATTTTTAATGACAAAGTTGAAAGAAAACTCCTCAGTAACTTTATTTTGATAACAAAACTGTTCTCATAAAGTAATTTAAATAACCACCAATGAGACTTATGTGATAAAAAGCAAATATAATATTGATAAGCTCAGCTCAAAGTAAACAAATAAAACAAACACACATTTCCAAACTAACCACGCAAATCTCCCTATAAAATATTTGAACATAATAAACAAACTATTACGCTATTTAATTATTAATAACTAAATAGTATGTTTTTAGGTTTATACATATATTATATCTTATTATCATATAACAAGATTTACTGCATTTTGTTAATATGTGTTTTTAAAACCAAAATACTTACATACTATCAATATAAACACATAATAATTTGTACTTAAACACATGTTTTGGAAAAAAAAATTATATATATGGTTTTTATCGTTTTTTGATTAAATTTTATCAATTTTAAGAGAATATTTATAGCATATTTTGAGATGTTTAAGTGAATATTAGCATCATGTTTAAAAGTTTTAAAACATAAAAACACTTTTTCTGTTAGTAACTATCATTACAACTATTTATGGAAAATATCCTAGATTACAAATAATGTAATTTCATTAGTAGCTCATAGGTAAAGTAACACAAAAAAAAAATAATATAAAAGTCAAACTGATTTGTATATTTAAAAAAATAAAAGCCAATTATATAAAAAAATGTACAGTAAAAAAACTTCCAAAGTAACTATTATTATTATCAGAATCGTACTGATGATTTTCTGTGTTCTTAGTAACCAATGAAAGAATCGTAAATAAAAAATAAATCTATTTACAGTATAGTATTTTAATATAGCGTTTTCAGCGAATAAAATTTAAATACACTAAGAATATGATATAGTTTAACTGCAAGACAATGTTTTTAATTTCAATATGAAACCTCATACAAAGCCATTTAATTGCTTTTTAAACGAGCCTACATAAAGTAAGAGAATATATTTTTATTTTCCAACTACAATGTAAAATATCATTTTGAAATCACAATATACAATTTTTTAAAACATTTGTATAAACGTTAAAAGTAACGTAGAACTGTTTCACTAAGCATCACTATATCGTAATGATAAAAACGTTTATTGTGCGTTTTTTGTACAAAATTTTTTTTTTTATCCTATTGTAATAACTTTTGCAACGGAAGGGAAAACTACATAGGCATATGTATGTACCCTGTTAATTATACAGGGTGTTCAGTAAGTCAGGAAACGGGTTTCTATTGTTCTCATTGTTTGTAACAATGTTACTGAACACCCTGTAGAACAATTGTTTTAGGAGTGCTCTATGGACGGTAATGGAGGTTGTGACAAAGGTGGGGATGATGGCTCGAGCAGCAGGTACATCATTGTCTGATTGTACAGAAATCTTCTCGTGCATTACGATCACAATAGGTACCGGAAGAGCAGGGAAAAATTTGTAAACACATAAGAGCACAAGGGAGATAAAAAGTAAATACACATTTTTTATCACGCAACAATTGCAAATGAATTAATTAGGATCAAAATCAATATGCGGATAGCGAAGGTTTTTTATTACTTCGTTGTCATTTTATGGCAAGTGACAAATATAATTTATTGAAAAAAGTTGTCATATTTTTAAAACACATTATTATTATATTTTCGAATCGGTAAACCCAATTTATACATTTTAAAGAGTGAGTACACGCTATAATGAACTTATGATGACGACAATGAAATTAGTTTTTATCAGGTTAATAACATATATGTCATACTATTATCGCGGTATTAAGTTAATTTCCAATTAGCTAATGGGTTGTCACCCACAGTTGTTCGCAGTATATTGTAATACTATGAAAGTCAAAAGATTATAATTATTATTACACCGATAAAAGATTGTACACGTATAATACAATTATATATCATGATATGATAATTATAACATAAAATGTGTTATTTTTCCCCCTAAGAGGAAACCCAATATAGTATTTTAACCAAGTTGAAATTAGTATAAGTTACCAAAAAGTTTATAACAGCAAAAAAACAGTCTGTGATTACGGAAACCATCTCAAAAGTTAATCAATCAAATGCAATTGGAAATCATTTGACTGAAAATAAAGTACGATCAGAAATTAAAAGTTTTTTTTTGCCATTTGAAGTAAAATTAAGCGTTTTTAGAGTGAAATGTGAAGAAAAAATCTTTGACCTACCAAGAGATATTTTTATAAAAATATAATTAATTTGTCATTTAAAAAAACTTTGAGAAAATTAGCTTTTGACGTTAATATTAATTTTATTAAAAAAAAGAATGATTATATTTTCAAGATTTAAATTTAAACATAAAAAATTTGATTAACATATTTTTGCGTAATCAATTTTTAAATTAAACGTTTTTTTTTTTTTTTTTGAGGAAATAACGCATAATAAATTAAAAATGTATTGTATGATTTAAACATGACTTATAATGGTTAAAAAATGTAAGGTATATATTATAATAAGACAACTTTTAGTGATCAACTACAGTATATTGTTACACATTCAAATAAATATATATAAAAGTGTGCAAACACTACAAAGTGTAAAAGTTTATTTGTTTTAGATATTCACGATAAGAAAAATCAATTAATAACTAAAAGGGTAAATAAAAAAGTATAGATACTATAGGAAAAACCTAATTTAGTCTTATACGGGTATAAGATTCTTTGAAAACTACTATAGTAATTATTATGAAGGCTATTTACACATGCCTTCGTGTAATTGTATATTACTGTGCAAAATCTACGAGAAAAAAGTGCAATCAAAATACAAATAGTGCAACAAAAAAATAACAACGTGTTACATATGATAGTTCTACACAAAATAAATCGCGACTTACTTATAATTACATATTTTAATATTTTTTATTAAAAGCATTTTTCCGTTAAATATTTGTTTAGCATGTAAAAATAAAAATGCATTAATTGACAATACATCATAAAAGAAACAATAAGAATTGTAAACCCCAGTGGTACACATAAAAACCTTAGAAATTATATTCTAGTCGTCACTATTTTATAAACATATAACACGTTTTGTTTTCGTCAAGAATTAATTAAAAGCTCACAAGAATAAAAAATATAAAACATTGTCCGTTTCTTTTTTTTTTTTGTCAAAAACTTTAACAATAAAGGCATACTACCAGCGGCATTAATTAGTTTTCTAATTAGAACCGAGAAATTAAACGGATTTTTTTTCTTCAAAATCTCCACTTTCAAAAACTTTAAATTGTGTACCGAATTTGATTTTTTATTATGTTCTCATTAAAACTACAATAAGAAGCGTTTTGAACCATCCCCTTTGTTGAATGTTTACTTTATAGCTGTTGTTCATACACCAAAACCTGAGGATATTTTAGTTATTGGGCCCAGCATCTGTTATAAGTCGAAAGCAAAAGTTAAAGTTTACCTGTTTCGCCGGTTGTTGCCACAATGGGTTGCGATGGTGGTCCGTGTCCAAAGCCGTTGACCGCAGACACAGTAAATTCGTATTGGGTGTAAGGGCTCAAAGGTCTTATCGTGTAGTACATAGTAACTACTCCACTAATGACACCAGGGGATTGAGCGGCCGACTTAGGTTTGTGTGATATGGTGTAGTACTGAATGTCGTCGGGGTTCGGGTGCGACCAACTTAACCTTATTGATGTAGAAGTTACGTCAGATACTTTAACGTCAATCGGTGGACTTGGAAGAGCTGAAATACATTTATTTATATTATATTGAATGTTTAAACTTCATCAATACTACTTTCATAATATTTTATAATTATAGAATATTTGATTGCGAAAAGAATACTCGAAATTTTAATTAAACATGGACAATCATAACGCATTTATTTTTATTTCAATGAAATGTAATAATTTTTTCACAGATTAAAATGTAAACCACCAATATTGCATAAAAATAGGTTTCATTAAGTATCTTTTGTATTACATGTATTACAGAGTAATACAGTCGTAGAGTTAGACGACATTAAATAAATTTTCTACAGATGAATAACTTAAGTTGCGCAATTATAGCAAGTTTCGTTTTAATACTTAACGTACACTATCAAGAACAATATATAATTATTTTAAATCCACAATTTTAATGATTGTTATATAAACAAAATTATTGTGTTTGTAGTTATTTATAACAACATTGCCTGATACTATGACAAAGAGATGCAGATAAAATTAAAAATAAGTCATCAGAGATAAACAATTAAATTTTTAAGACTAAACATTATAATTTGATTGTTATTTGGTTATGAACTATGATCATAGACGTAGCTTAAAAAAAATAATTTATGGAACTACAGCACTATAGTCAATTCGACTTGTCGTAATAGACTTCGTTCCAGTCCCAACCCACCTGATTAAAATTACATTATTTATTTATGGGTACTATTAAAGTGTTTATGAGGAATTTAGTCCTAAACTACATCCATTCATAACAATGGTGAAATTAAGTAGCTTAAATTAGTGGAACTAAACAGTATACACCGACTGCGTATGTATGAAGTAGTTTGTCGGTTTGTCCGCTATTCTTCATGTACTCCGCTATTGATCTATTTCATGGAAAACGGAAAAATCGCGCCGTTTAATCGACTGGCATATAACGCGAATTCACCGTAAAATTGTTTACAGTAGCACTGCATATTTATTTACTTATGTTTCCACTCACTCAGTACTTTGATGAATGTTGTAGCCTCGATCATGCCCAATGAGGAAGCCGCTATACACGTGTAGTTGTCGGATTGTTCCACGTTAGTGAGGTTCAGCACGTTCCTACCCACTGGCAATTTGTCTTCGGGGGAAAGTTCTGTGGTCTTACCCCGACGCCACTTGACGTACGGCATAGGCGAACCAACGGCCACGCAAGGTATACTCACGTTTTCACCGACTTTGACCTTCTCCAATGTGGGCGGAGGAATGGAAAATTGCGGCGGTACTCGTCGAACTAGAAACAAAATATAAACATGTTAAATATTATGTGTAATAATGATGGACGATGCGAGGAACACACGCGGAATAAAGCAACAATGTTGTTAACAATAGAAAAACCGTACGCGACGGTCAACTACAAAATTTCTATTATTTTGTAATTGTTGAGGGAATTCGGTTGTCGATAAATTATGTACTATACCTAGCCAAGAATTACATTGGGCCCTAATACGAAAACAGCAGCACTTAAGTGAATTACTATTAACCGAGAAATTACAGGGGTGTCCATCAAGTCAAGTATTCACTGTACACAATGATTCGGTCGCCGTCTTTTCGAAAGCTTTGTGAATAGCGTTTCTAATTTATAAACCTTTTTACTGTTGAATTTTGTTAGTTTACCCATCGTAGCTCTTGATAATCAGAATTTTCGACAAAGAATATCGTCGTTCAAGTCCAGACTAGAGCTGCGCCATAATTATTAACCATTGATTTTTCGATTAATTGATGATTATTTTCTCTATAAAAATAATCCATTAAAATTTGTCGATAATTAATCGAAAAATATTGGTTATTAACGTAGTGTACCGGTGTAATCAATCGATTAAAATTATGAACTTTGTTAATTATTATTAATCGAATATCCGATTATAATTGAATTATTTATTTGAAATATCGATTATTTTGAAATGAAGTAAACGAGCAGCAACCCTAGTCGAAATCGCATATTTTGGGAGTGCGGATATACAGTTCATTTATTTGAGTTATTTGCATATATTATTTCCCATAAAAATAGTAAAATCATTTTGTATCGAAGAGTATATAAAATTGGTAATATACTTAAATGCCTTTTTTATTTTTTACTTTAGGAATATTAATAATTTTTTACTAGTTTCTAACTTATATTACTTAGCTATGACTGTATGGAGTACATGACTTATAAAATGAAGATAATATTACTGCGCTATAACTACCACAAAATCATTGACGCGTAATTTCTATTATTAAAAAAATTAATTTGAATTTTTTCAACGCATATAAATGCACATTGCTGAACTTTTAGTGAATGTTAGCTACACGTTTTGCTTATTTTTAGTCCATATGCATATTCATTAATTTGTTTTTAATGTATGGACATATAAGTATGTGCATAATCAAATGATTATGTAAAAATAAATTAGTATTAAATGCTTTACATGGTTTCTAACCGTATAAATTATTTACTCTTTAAGCTAAAAAAAGAACTTTGCTTGGAAGTATATTTATATACTTGAAATATAATACCAATTCTAAACAATAATGTTAAAATTTACTAACAAGGCTGGCGCTATTATTTAAATTAAAAATAACTTAATTATGTAAACATCTATGGCATAAACTGTCGAATGTAATGACACGCGTGGGGATAGTTTGACAAAAGACCTACTTAAAACAACGACATGGCTGAATATATATTTATATATAACAAAATACATTGATAAAACATATAATTAACAAGAAACCTAAGACTTGCACTCTTGTAATATTGTACAAATAATAACAATAACTATTGCTGATGTCGGGCGGCTTCTTACCATAATAGCACACAAATGCCATGAAAATACTGTTGCAATGAAACTTCTCCTTTCCTTTTCTGCGTATACCAAAAAAAATAGTTGACTAAATAATGTCGACATTATGGAGAGAATATTTAGAACTCAGTTCTTATATTATTACGACGCTGTAGCCACTAGGTTAGTCGTCGTTTTTAATCCTCGTGGGCACCAAAAAGGGTTTAGAATTTAATCTCATATGTCCTTTTTTCGTTGACCTAACAAACGAACACGAGTCACAACGACAGTTTCTTATCTCGGACACAGTTAACGTGGGCTTAGGGAAATTTTAAAACCGAAACGCGTCGGTCGGTGGGTCTAATCGCCGTAACACCGTAGACTCCATGTGAATCAAGCTTTGGCAACAAAAACATACAAAGGGTTAGTGATACGGGTGTGGTCATGTCTCAATAAGGTTTTACACGGATACAGAATGAATATCAAATTAAATACGTTCATATGTGTCTATTTTACTGCACCGAAACAGTAGAATACCCGCAAGTTCAATAATTACTCCTTGCGGTTTACCTTCTTTTGCTGTAAATATAATAACTCTGTGTAATACACGGGCAAACATAACAAAGAGCAAAAAGTCGTTTACGTTTTCTACAATACAGAAAAAAACTCGGAGATAACATTACACGTGAGCAATAAAAAAAAGCACACGAACGCAATAAAGTAATATACTAAATCTCTTCGAATGAAATGCAACGCAAAAAATTACCTTCCATACTGCACAAAGTTATGAAAAAAAGACCGAAATGAGTTTATTCTAATATGAGTTATAGTGTATAAGCTCCACGGGAATCTAGTTATAATTTTTATAAAAAACAAATAAACTACCCCCTAAGTGGCTTAAGATAATTACTATTCGAAAACCACGTGTTTTTTTTTACTATAAATTTTTATTGGATTGAATGTTAATTATTACTCTGCGTCGTATGGAGTAGAGGAAATATAGGGAGCCCCATCGTATTAAACTGAAGTAGAGTAAGAGNTACTATAAATTTTTATTGGACTGAATGTTAATTATTACTCTGCGTCGTATGGAGTAGAGGAAATATAGGGAGCCCCATCGTATTAAACTGAAGTAGAGTAAGAGAGACAAGAGCGGCCGTGTAAAACTCGAGAGAATTGGCGAGAGTGGGTCATTGGCGGCGGTCTAGTAGTTTTCGGATTCAATTAATTAACACACACGAGCCCCTTGTTTTTGCTAACATTAGCCTATCAACGTGCGTAGGCATGTTCAAATACTCCTTTAATTTGGAATAATATTACGACATTGCCAATGTTGGCAGCATTTCTACGCTAGACTGCAATTTCGTGTATAACCAAAGCATATATCATTTCCTATATCATCAAAAGTGTACACATGCAGATAAAGCTTATCCTTTTTCAATTGTCGTGAACGTACAACTATTGTGGCCGCCGTCCAATTATATTTTTGCCGAACGGCACTTTATCATATTCCGTTCAAAGTTCCGTGCACGAGCACTAAAAGAACTTGTACTCTTTACAAAAGGTTTATAACTTATTTAAGAGTTCTACATAATAACAACGTTGCGATTACAGGCCAAAATAATAATAATAATAACACAAAACCAAAAGCAAAAGTAAATCAAGAAGAAAAAAGTATTCAACAGGTTTCGTATTTTTTTTATTACTATTGTTGTTGGTATTATCAATAAAGCGGAAAAATCATCTTTAAAAAGTATTGCATTAAAAATATATATATGTATACATTCAAAAGTGGTTTAACAGTCGTTAAAAACTACGAGGGAGTTTTACAATAAGGCCCCTACCCCGTCTCAAACTACCGTAGTGTACAATCCAGCCCTGTATAGTGAAAATATTATGTACGATTCTTGGATGTATACAATGTGAACGTAATAATAATAATTATAAGTAAAATCAGAAGGGGAAGGTGAAACGGTTGTCTGTCACGCACCGGCAACGGTGGAAAATGGCTTTTGCTCTAATTTACCGACTCCCGATAATGCAATTAAATTTCATTCGGTTGTTGAGTTTTCTAAGACGAAAAAAAAAACCAAGAAGTTTGAAAAATATACTAACCACAAAAGAGGCAGTACAATGAAGTTTTTGTGGACGATACTCTAATTTAGCGCTGATAAAACGGGATTGGAGAAAGAAGGCAAAGAGATTATAAAAACGGATGGTGTTTTTGGCGACTTTTTTCGTGCAAGGGCTACGGTATACCTTTTACGGGGCGGCCTTTCGTTATTTACGGTCTCGATTTTTTTACGATAACGTCTGATAAGTATAATAATAAGTAGTCGTGTGTGAGGGTAATAGACGAATATACACATTAAGACCAACGCTTTTTATTGAGATCGGCCGCCGTCACCTACGCGTGTATAGAAACGTATGATAAAAATTTATTCGGCCATAAAACACACACAAGCGGCTAAGCAAATAACATATACGAAGGATACTCTCGGAATAAAATAAAATCATGATGGGCTTATCTATTTTGAAGCATAAAATAAAATATTGTAAAAAAATAAAAAATCCTTTTGTTACGCCGTAGTAGAGAAAATCGTACAACCAACAGGTTCTCAAGAGTTCATTTATTTAATAGTATTCATTGAAATTCCGCAAAAAAATACACTACAAATAAAATTAATAACAATGAAAGAATTTTTATCAATCACATAACACGCGATACGACACTATAAATATTAAAATAGACACGTGTAATTTCAAAAAAAGACAATTCCCGTAAATATAATATAGTACAGTGTACTATATTAAATACAAATATAATATAGTACAGTGTACTATATTAAATACGCCGCGGATTTGTTGGCGTTATTAAAAATTGTAAATTTCAAAATCGTTCAATAAATAAATACTTTGCCAGGTTCGCGTTAAAACTATAGACATAATATTATTAGTGCACTACTAATACTAACGACAAACAAACGTACAATAGTAATAGAAAATTTTCTACTCGAGATATGTTTGACAATTAATAGAAAATGGACGTGATGTAATGGATTTGCCGGAAGGACCGATCGTAAATCGTTATAACTATCCAAAACTTTTACAAAGTTGGGGGCGGCTATCTAATAGAGTTGATAAAACTATATAATAGTTTTTGACGTTGATACAGCGCGTTCCGAGATTGATGTTCTATTATTTGCCACCATCAGTACTGGCCTTCAACACTATACTTCCACAGACTTCGTAGGGGGTGAGGGGGGGGGGGGGTTAATCGAGTANCACAGACTTCGTAGGGGGTGGGGGGGGGGGGTTTAATCGAGTATGTTTGCCATCGAACGAGTCCGAGAAGAGCAGACAGACGATACAATTAAGTAGTATATACGCTAAAAGAGGAAAGTTACGATGAAGTGTCATTACGGTGCGAAAAGATGAAATTCTGCCGGTGACATTGTAGTAAATGTTATCATTGTTTTTAGACAAATATTGACGTTTCAGGGTGGTAGTCGGACACGGGATACATTTTTATTTATTTTATTCGTTTATCGAATGCACACTGTCGTCCAAACATTATCGTTTAGCAAGTCGTACCGAGTAAAATTTTAAACCCAGTAACACTACCTCGAGATACGCCCGAAAGCGCATTTTCCGTTTATTTGAAAAAGCACCGACGTCTACGTTAAAACGGTGGAATTCAATGTAACATCCGACGGCAGCAACCTCACGCTAATGTTTCACAATTAACCAAATTAATTAACTGTATAATATTATTCGCGGAAGGCGGCATATCGTTCTGGCGAATCGTAACTTCATTTTGCTAACTTTTACAAACTGTGTGTGTTGCTCGTCGTATCTTCAGAGAATCGTAAATAGAGCGCGTTTAATCTAAATTAAAACTCGGCGAAAACTAAACAACAAAAATAGGAACAATAGGTCTATTCGAAATAGGCTAAATATTTATCGAGTTTGGAAATCAATGCGTAAATATCATTTATTTTAACGATACAATTAATAAATAAAATATATCATATTGACAAACAAGTGGATGATTTTTTTCCCCGTTTTCTCAAGATATGATATTCAATTGAACGACTGAATATATGGATATTTCACACGCTATTTAAACTAATTTTTAAGTATATTATCAATGATCGCATTCTCGACACAGAAATTACAACGCGAATGTCTTACCTCTGACCCATAACGCGACGGCTGGAGCATGTTGAGTGCCCACAGCATTTTCGGCAACACATTCGTATTTTCCTTGATCCGTTTCCTGACTGTCGCTGATCTGCAAAGCTCCTAGATCAAAAAACAAGTATAATAGTATTAGTCAATTAAGTAATTTAAAGCAGCGATAGAACAATTGCCAAGGTAAAACAAACAATATTTTTATACCAAACCCAAATTTAATAATGGGAAACAATACTGCTCAGAGAACGAGCAGCAACACTTTCGATTACGATGTCATTAAATTAATGGCTGACACTACTTTTTGAACTTCTATGTCGTTAACATTAGTGTGATAAGCATTAACTATATAAAATCAAATATTGATATATCCGTCGCAGCAGTTCATAGTAATCGCTCGTTTTTCTTTAAAATTTTTTTCGTGAGCTTGTATAGAACTACGAAAATAAAATACTATTCGTTTAATATCGTGGCAAAACTTTCGCATTAATCGATTTTCGTAATAACGAAGGGTATTTTTAGGATATAAAACAATAAAATTCCGTAAGTAAACAAAAGAAAGAAGACATGTTGCACCGTGCCGTGAAGTTATAGATGTTTATATTTTAAAGGGTTAACGTTGCTCAAAAATTCATTTTCAAAATATGACACGTGTAACTAAAATATTGTCGTACATTTCAGAACGTCGGTATTTCACGTGTATAAATGGCATTAACTTGTTTATTATGCATGAGCTTAAAGTGTTTCTCTTACAACGGGCACAGTTGTTTAAGATGGCGAGACTCAGTTCATAAACGCTGCGCCAAGTCTCTTGTCGTTAAAACTTACAATAAAAAAATATGTTCAGTATTTCCCGAGTATATTATAACGTATCATGGCGCGAGTATAATTACTTTAAGATATTTGCAAAAAGAATTGTACTTCTACAGTCGCTATCTATTACACTTTAAGTTCCAAACAAGATAAATAGTTTGAATTAGATTATATCAATTCTTCAGTTTGCAAAAGAAATAGTTGTACTGGTATATTGTGTAAGATAAAACTGTTCAAATGTTTGAATTTAGTTTAAAGAAAATTCCTATGCAATTCTACGGCTTCCGAAGAGAAAAAATGTACGACTAAATAGGCTCTTCAAGTACCAAGTGATATGGATTCCTTTTAATTTGATGAAGTTATATGGTGAAAAATTCGCAGAAAATTTCTATTTAATTATTTTACATGTTAATTCAATTTGTTAACTTTCATTTTGAGGCCATAAAATAAAGTTATAATCATCAATTACTTTGTAACTATATACTATGTAAAACAACAACGTGACAACTTATAGCTTGATGTATATTAAACGTAATTTATAACGTTATTGTCAATTGATGTGAAAACGAAAAAAAAAAAGTTACAATATTCTGAAACAAATAGCTGTATCTCCTCTCTTTCGCTCTAGAACATTAGTTAATGGTGCAGATTCGTTTTCCTGTTGACGATAATATTTTCAAATAAATATTATCGACACTCACCTAAGCCCAGCCACCATCCACAAAATAACAAAGTATTTATACATATTTTTATTCAAAATGTTGAATCACAATCAGCTATTACAGCGAAGTATCGGTATTGTTTAAACAGCGAGTTTTGTCAATGTCCGCCCTGTTTATTATCGATTCTTTACAATCCAGTAACCAATATTTTTCGATAATATTTCTCTTGTTTCTTTTCGAGTTATTATAAGAATGTTAAACAAGGAGATAAAGAATAAATATCTTGACGTCTTATAAAATTTCATCGATGAACCCCTTTTACAAATGTGTTAATTAATTCCAATTGAAAATAGAGACAACAAAACTTTTAAACTTTTTTTGAGAATTTTTAACAAACAATCAATAACTAGAATTGGAATTTACCAAGATATCTCTTTTTATAGTTTTCATTTTTGCTTTGCAGAAAACATTGGCATGTTGCTTATGTCTATTTTGCGAAGAACATGATGTGAACGAAAAATGAAAATGAAATTTTTGCCATAAACAATTCTATCAATTTTTAACCAAAACGGAAAATAGTAAAAATCCCACAAATATTCACGAGAAAAATAAAAAAAAAAATGTTTTTTTCTTTATTTGAATTATACAATATTAGTACAATATTTATAAGAGATGATAATGATTTTTTTGACATGAATATTTTGAGAAGAGAAACTGCCCACCGACAACACTTTTTTTGAAGTGATATTATTTAGTAGTTAGATTATTATTATTATTATTATTTATTTATTTTAGTTTTTAATTAATAATAAGATCTCTGCACCACTTCATTTTTAAAGGATTGCCAGGCATTGTGGGTAAAGTAAGATCCTTTACTAAAGAATTAGGATGGTTAAGAAGGGAATGGTGGTATCGAGTGTAAACAAATTTTTTTTTAACTCCAAAAACAACAAATAAATTTGGTAAACTTATTTGATTACTCGAAATCTAGAGATCAGTTGTAATCCACTGGGTTCACGTCAAAAATGATTTTATTCGTGTTAATACAACGGGTACTTTTAATATTTTATCAGGATTTATGTCAAAACAATACTTCAAAATAAGAAAAATATTCGTTTGTTCAAAAGCACGCAGCTTTAAATATACGATGTAATCTATTTTCTAAACTTCATAAATCCATCATTATTAATTGCGTTTTTTTACTTAAAAGTTGTTACTTGAACGATAAGAATTTCTGAAAATAATATTTGACACGTGTTTTCACAGATCTTTAATATAAGAAATTTTCAAGTAAATCAGGTCGAAGTGGGAAAAAACTTCATTCGCTGAATCGATTTAATAATAAATTTCAATTACTCATTATGGTCTGATAGGTACCGTTGACGTCGTGAAAGTACACAACAACAAGAATAATTAAACGTTAGAGCTTACTAGGAAAAAAGTGTTTAGTGTATTCGACCAAAGTGAAAATCGTCGAGGCGTATGAACAAAGAATACGGTTATTTCCCAAGAGCATAAAGTGAACACGCACGCCGTCGGTTCTGTGTTTTTTTGTTACATTCTCCGGGATAGGTAAAAATCAGAAACAATATAACGGCGGCGCGTTACAAAAACATAATAATATAAAACAAAACCGCTCATACGTATTGGTGCAATATTTACGGTTGGACGTTTTATAAAAAAGCAAGTGGTCGATACGGGAAGAGAGAAGTGTGCATGACACATCCAGGTATGTTGAATTGTACGCGTGTATTGCTTACAATTCAGTGAACTAACTCGCTATGGGAAGTTTAATGCGAAACGTCGACCGAATCAATTGACTCAGGGGCAGGCTGGCCACGGTTACAAGGGGCAGTTGGCCCCCCCCTCTTGAACAATTGCGGTCTATAGACCAATTAGGGTTGCTATGAATAGCGTAATAGCTCCGGTTATATCTAATAAAGAATTATGTATAAAATATTATAAATATGTGTGTATGCTCTGAATTTTCATACTTAAAAATTAAATTTAAAGGATTTTTATATATAGTAGGAAATTATAATTACAGTGTTTGAGCTATGCAAACATTTTTGATATCCAACAGGACCGACACAATTTTTGTGTCCCCTGGGTCCGTTGACCTCCCAGTCCGCCTTTTTATTGACTTTTATAGAGTGATAATTTTAAACAAATGCGTAATGATAATATGTGTGTTCATGACAGTTACTTCCTTGACATTTAATAGACCTTAAATCCGAAAGACAGATAACTTTGATACCGTAGATTTATTTTTTTTTTTCATTAAGTCTCGCATTGTTTCAAATAATTATACAATTTTATCTATTAAGATATAGAATTAGGAAGTTAGTCGGTATATTTAACAATAAACAATAATCATGAAATTATATTCACTATTAATTGAAAACACTTCACAATTAAAATCTGTTTGTTGGAGAAATGTAAATATTTTTGACCGTTAAAAATCCATACCCACCGGCAGAAAAAATTTTGAAAATGTGTTTTGTGCATAGCGAAACAATAACACAGTGTTAATAGTTTAATATATATTATTATCTCATACTTTTTTTGTTAATATTCATTATGGGCTACCGCATGTTTGAATACAATAATAACTCTAATGTTTGCCGATTTATTTGGATTACTGTATAGATGGTAAAACGGAATACAAAGGAGAGGCCATTAGGACGGATGACCTGGAATTTATAGCATCGGGAGGGATTAAAATCGGACTAAAGCCGACGACGTCATTTCAGAGGTAAATACACTTATCCTCCAGGGATTAACCATTCATTGCGATCTAAGTCTTGGGGGGATGTTTATGCATATATATATATATATATATATATATATTATATTACATTATATTTTATGCAAATATTTACAATTTTTACCTTTCACATTCAACGACATTTGAATCTTTATCGTTTTCGAATTTGAGTGAAAACTTATGTCACGACCACAATTAAAAACTCTAAAAATCATTAAAATTATAGTTTGTTTTTTGAAAAAATAAAAATGAAGACAAAATCTAAAAACAAGGATAATTTCTGTAAGAACAATAATAATTTATTTGTAATAAAACCAAATACGGAAGTTTGATTGTAAAAATTAAGTAACATAGACATAAATAAAATGTGACAAATCTAAAACACAGTATAACATATACCGACTTATACACGGTATAAGATACCCTTTGTGTACATAAAAAACTGTTTATTTCTTTTCACAGAATTTCAAAGTTGGTTTTCTATACTTTGCTTACATTGCTTGTAGAAGTGAAGATATATAATTTGACGTTAAAAAATTTCATAATTACCTCCAAGACTTCTTCTTTATATGAAAATAATAAAGAATTAATACATTTCACTTTACTTAGTCCCAAAAGGATCAAAGAGTAAAGACGAATTCTCTGAAAATAGTAATATATTTTCTAAACGAAAACTGTTGTAGGGCATAAAGTGGAAAGGTCGAATGAAATAATCACTGTAGTATGGTAATTAAAGTATAATAATTGTCAGAAAAATCACTAAATAGTTACAATAATAATATACATATCACTTTCACATTAATTAATACTGACAGAGTTAATTAAACAAATAAAACAATTCACTTAAAAGGTTACATAACAAAAGTTCA